AAATTAAAAAATGTAGAAATTATATGTAGACGTCCTTGACCAATCGGAGACGTCGTTACATGAGAACATCCTGTTGTTGTTATGGTCGGTTAAGGTGTAAGTTGCAAGAAAGGAAAATCGTCAGCGGGTAAAACTTTAGTTAATTTTATATAATTTTTATTCTTTTCTTATTTAAGATTAAAAAAATAAATCGTACAATTATCATTTTTAAAGATGTTAAATGTGAAATTTAAGTAGTTATATTTAAACCTGATGATGTACTTGTTTGGTTGTGATTTCATTGATGAAATCTACAATTTTATGCAGGATGATCACGTGTTCAAATCTCATCTTTTACACAGATTTAAACCGTAATTCTTTGCTTATCAAATTGTTTTAGTGTCGAATTATATATTTAAATAACTAAAATTCTGTGTTAGTTCTATATGACAGCTTAGAAGATTAATGAAGCCAGTTTATATAAATGATTATATGTTATGGAAGAATTATAGATTATTTTCTTTGGAAAAAAAGAAATAGTTATTTAAAATCATCTCATCTTTAATTACAATGGATAACAAGAAGATATGCATACTGTTATTACCCATAGAAATTCAAGAATACATTCTGTCATTTTTAGATTTTTCATCTTTAATAAGTTGTAGTAAAGTATGTTTGGTTTGGAGCAATTTAACTCTAGGATGTTGGCACAAATGCTGCTTGAGAGAGATTCCGGAGGACGTCCTGATAGAGATCTTCGGATGTTCACGGCCCGCCGTCTTTCTGCGACAGATGACCCCTTTGGCATGGAAGGCTCTGTTTTTACGGTGGAGTCGTCACACGGTCGCCAAGAAGACCCCGCATCAAAAGTTTTCTCTGCCTTTCAAGAACAATTCTTTAAATAAATGTATTATGAGACTTTCTGGAGATTTTCTCGTCTTGGCGCCCACTGCCGAAAACGTTAGAGTGTATAAAGTCTATATTTACGAAAGCGGAAGATGTATAGGAATATTAGCCAAACATAATAATTCTATTCAAGACATCGGCGTCATGAACGTACAGAACGAAGGACCATATAAGATAAAAGGATCGAATAAGATTGCCGAACATAACGTAGTGGTCAGCGTTTCATTAGATAAGAGCATTCAGATTAATGAATTTAATTGTCATGGTCATCATCCGATTAAACTCTGGGAAAATTTTTTGGCATCAGATTGTTCGAATGCCGTTATTAAAATATTTGGAAATATGATCGTGGTTGCTTGCCAAGATAGAAATATTTATATATGGAATGTCTCTCGTGTGAATGTGAGTGGATCTTTGTTACTCGTAAAAGATCTTGGTCAAACTCTGTGTCCGATACCAATAACGGATATTAATATCTGGAAAAACAAAATTATGTGCTTTTGGTGGAATATGAGTAGGATTCAACTTCTTACTTGGGATTTAACTAAACAGACTTGGATAGAAAATTATTATTTTGAAAATGTTTTGAATATTAGAAGTTTGAATATTTCAATTTTTCGAAACTTAATATTTGAAATTGGCACTCAATTAACAATTTTAAGAAAATGCCAATTTTATCAGAAATATAATTCGTGGGAAATGCTCGGATGTTCTTCTGTTTTGGTAGAAATGATAACGGCTATCTGCTTAAAACGAAATCTGTTAATTGTTGGAACAAAATTAGGAGAAATTTATATATTTTTAATTAATGACAATGACGATTTAAGAGACTTAAAATCTCTTCTTCCTCTTAACACGATCAAGATCACAACCTCTTATGTGCAATCTCAGCAGGAAATACAAAGTTTAGATATCAGTTTTGATGGAACTAGATTACAAATTGCAGCTCAAACGTGTCAAGCTGTACACATTATTCATTGGTTTCCATTTGAAAAGGAACTTCAATGTGTGCCTAAAATTGAACTTCCAGTATTTAAATGTTATCAAGAAGATAATTTAATTGATCCTGATTATTGGTTTTATGATTCTGATTGACGTTATCGGTTCAATTGTAAATGTATTTAAATTAAATTATTTACAAATTAAAATTTTCATAAATTATAAATGTATTGTCTCTTAAACAAAATATAGTATTTATTAAATATTATATTTTAAAGCATACATTCATTATTAGAGATAGTAGAAGATATATTGATTTTATTCAATGTATCTTGTATTCAAATTAAACATAACCACATACCATTAAAAAAAATGCATTTAAATGTTAACTAACACTTGGTTTTTGTTATATAATAGAAATAATTACCTGATAAATTTAAACTTTGTAAGATTTTCAAAAATGTAATTGTATAATTATAAACAGAAGATATACGATACCAAAAACAAAACTTCCTTAATTATAAATATTTAAAATATAATTCTATTGATAGTTTCAAATTAAAAAATGTAGAAATTTCTGTAGTAATAATAAATGAGATAATTTTTATCTTTGAAAATATCTTTGTCAAATTAAAAAAGCTTATTTACAAAGCTAATTCCAAAAGTAGTTTGCTGTTTGTAATTTTAAGACCTTTTTTTATTGTTAATTAAAATATAGTAATTAGTAACTTACTGAAATAATGTATATTAAATATTTTATGTACTGTATATGAATTTACTCAATTGTACATATACATATATTTTTAAATAATATATTTTAACATATATTAGGTCTAATTAATAAATATATTAAATTTCGAAAAAAATTGTTAAATTATATTAATGTTAATATTGTAAATAAAAATGAAATGTTTATTCCTTGTATTTTGCCTTTATGAATAATAACAATTCAAAAATTATATTTACATCATTTAATTTAATTTAATTTAACAATAAAAAGATTACTCTTAAAAAAGATTTACTAAATCTTTAAGCCAATATTTTACTTAATATATATATTATTAACAATTTCCATATTATTAAAGGTTTTCTGTGAATGAGGACTTGGAAAAGATATTTATTTAACAAACTGCCATGACAGGTAAATATATAAACTATGTTAAGAATGTAAAACTAATAGAAAAAGAATTTAACTTCGATTAAACTATTTAATGTCTATCCAGAATAAGTATTTTTAAATATTTAAATGTTTTCTAACATCGTTAGGAAATGATTATTAACAATGCACAATTCAGTGCTCATCAGTTAAATACACCATCCACAGTATATTAAAATAAATACGAATTATTAAGTACAGTACATATTAGTTCATCAAAGTTCATCTCTATCTAATGTACCTACATAAAGTACATGTAAATTAATGTATAAATATCTTGTTAGGAATGTTTAAAGATTTTAATTATATATCAGCTTATATATAATAAGTAAAAAAAAGAAAATTAGTACTGTGATTTTTAAAAATTGTATATTTATTAGAATATTTGGTCATATTGTAACTAATTTATAAAATAATAAAAGAATTTTTTTTAATATAAACTACAATAAATACTTTATTTCATCATATTCAAAGCTTTATTTTAACTATAACTGAAGAGCACTCCTAAAATGAATAATTTATTTCTTTAATCTTTTATTGAATGATGCTATTATATCTTTAGATACATTGAAGGACCTTTTAAACATTGTTAATAAAGAGGAGGAGAAATACTATTTTTGGAAAAGTTTATCAAAAGGAACGGTAGCAAAACAGTTAACTGTTGGAGCTGTAACTGGATGGTAATATTTAATCACAAAGTTTTTCAATTTTGTTTTAAGAAGCTTTTTAAATTAAAAAAACTTAGATTTTTGATTTCATTACAAGAAATATTGGAGATCTTATATAACTAATGTAATAGTTTATAAATTTAAAAAATAAATACATAAAATTAAGCTAGAAAATAATGAGTAAATCTATAAGAAATTCAAAAAGTAACTATTTTAATTATTTATATTTTAATAGAAATAGTTTGTTTATAAATTTGTTTTTTTTTCTTAACATTGAAGAGGTTTTTGTCTAAACTTTTTTCTCTATTGAAGTCCATTGACACTTGTATTAACATATCTTGTCTATAAAAACTTCCTTGAACTACTGTCTAAAATACTATTACATATTTTTCTGTGTATCATTAATCAATGTGAACATGATGTATCTCAAGACTTTCACTGACCAGCTGAAAACATTATTTTCATATGCATTAAATCCAGAAATATATAGATATCCTCAAATTTCTACTATAAATCATCAAATCAAATAATAATGCTAATATGAAAAACTTGATTGAATGATGAAAAATATGGATTGTCTTTGATTAAAAAAAGTTAGTTTATTAATAGTTGTTCTCTTGAACTTACAGGAAAGTTTATTAATATAATAGAGCTAACTATTGATAAACCTAGGAAAATAAATGTTTACAAGTAGAATCAAAATTTACAGAAAATGCACAATACAGTAACAGATATTGCATTCATTTAAATGTATGAATAAAACTTTCTGAATCATTATGATGATTCATTCAATTGTTTATATTTACTACTCATCTTTAAATGTTAATGATAGTTTTTACTTATAGCTAAATGTATTAACTTAGAAAATAAAAGTGTTTTTAGCAATTTTAACTTCCAATTTTTTTCTCCTTTTTATTTTTAAATATTCTGCTTTAAAAAGTCATTCATATATGTTAGCATAAATTTTTGTTTTAATGAATCTGGTCTATTATCTAATATTATATTTAATCTTAACATTTAACTAACAAACACTAAATTAGCTAGCCATCAGCTATTTCAGAAAGACAGGCTTTGAATGCAACTTAACTGTATGTAGATGTAATTAAAAAAAAATGAAGTAATAAAAATAGAGTTGAATGTAATAAAATTTCATTTTAGAGATAATATTGGAGCAAAATTTAAATATTAGAAAATGGTACTGCACATATAGTATTATTGAATTATTCTATTATTCATGCTTCTACCTGATGTCTATTTAACCATGTATCACATATGTATAAATTTCAAATTTTCTGTGTTCATTCTAAAAATCTGTTTGATAGATTTTGATTAAACTCTGCTATTTTCCATTAATTGTGATGAGATCCAAAAATATAATTAAAAATGGGGGTTCATGATTTTGTTTCAGAGATATAAGGTTGTAGCATAAGCATGCGCAACAAAGCAATGTCATGAAATGTTCCACTGTCACTAGCATGTAATTCTATGGGTTTATAGAATTGAGTTTGTCCTCAAAATTTAATGAGCCTATTTTGATAAAACTTTGCCATTTTCCATTAATTGTGACAAGGAATCCCAAAAATATAATGAGGGTCCATTTAAATGAACAAATAGGAGTCCATAATCAGACAAAAAAGGAAGTTTAATTATTTCTAATCTTTCTGCTATGTATAAGAAATCAAAGCATTTACAACATGCTAATTTTCACAACTATATAATAATAATTGATGTATAGCAGTATTTACACTGCGCTAATTTTCACAACTCTACAATAATAATTTATGTATAGCGTTATTTTAAAATAAAAATTTTTTGTCTTGTAAGCGTAACGATTTTTATATCGTACGCATCATTTAAATATTTAAAAGTTCGGAACACAGCTGTATTCGATTATTAGAATCCTTCAAAAGATAGAACTGTTTTTTAATGTTTCATCCTGAAGAGGGCCTCTAAAAGACGGCCGAAAACGTTAGATTAGTAAATTCTTTTGACTGCTAGAAGGGGTATTGAGGTGTTAATTGATGTTTGTAGGAGTCCATAACTTTGTTTAGGCTGACACCTCTGTATATTGAAATGTGACAATGTATGTTCTCTCTGATGCAACTGAGTGCATCTGACAGAATTTAGTGCAGGGGTCAAAAATAAAAACAGCATTGTGGTTGCCTAACAGAAAATAGGCATGAAAAACAAACTAAACACAAGAACAAAGCAATCAATGGTGATTGCTTTGTTCTTGTATTACCTCTCCATGTTGGCAAGTGCAAGGATCTCCCGTGGCCATCAGTACAAGGATTACCTCTTCTGTGCCTAACAAGTGCCAGGATCACTACTTTCTTTCCAGCTCTGTCTCAATTCTATCACAATATGACAAAGTTGCACAATGTCCTAGTTGTATGTCACCCGTTATGATGATAATACTAACTAAATTCAAAGTAACAATAATACTACTACTAATACTACTAACTAAACTTAGGCTAATTTATTAATGTTCCATATTTACAAAAGAATAATTTACTAATATTCTAAAGCTTCATTAATAAAGTTTTTATTTAAGAGCTTAAATAACTGAATATTTTTAAAATAATTGTATTCAGTCATAGAAGGATTAATAAATTAAAACAAAATAATACTGTATGATCATTTAATGCCATATGTAATTGAAATAAATTGCAATGAACATGTGATCAGTTAAACCAGTAAATCAGCAAATGAAATAATCAAGAATTTTGAATGCGTTATCAGCCAGTTATATATTAGAGATTCTAAGTTTAAATGTTTCCAGAAGACAATATACAAATCAGTATAACTTGTTCTGTTCATCAGTGTATTAGTAGAATACAGTGATTAGAAATATAGAATCAATGATAGTCAATATATCCACTTTCACTTTGAATTATTTCATTTTGTATCATCCACTTTGAATCATTCAGTCAACAATAATATATCACTAATATTATATAATATTCAATACTACATACAGAACAANTAATGTAAATCATATATGTTTGAATATTTGAATATTGACTATTATTAAAAAAAAATAAAAGGTTTTACTAATATAATATTGCAAAACATGGGCATCCTCGGAAACTGTTCCGGGGAGCAAAGCTTGGAAATAAATAATTACAGTAGAGTCTCTTAAATCCAACATATATTGGATGGAGCATCGGATTTCTGGATTTACTGGTTTTTGTATGTATGTACTGTACGCACTAAACAATAAAATTAATTTCAAAAAAATTAATTTTATTGTATTGCCGTAAAAAATTCACTAGGTTTACATGTTAGTTTATCGTATTAATTCCAATTGTGACTGTATTGCAGACCTCACGTGCAACAAAGTAATGACCAACAGCATAAATGTATTGTTCTGTACTGTACTGTACATCAGTTTCTCTGTCGTATACATCAAATGGTAACACAAAGATTTCATACGTGTCGCCCTGGATTGATGAATCTGTCTGATTGGCGAAAGACGGACTGTACAAGTACATCATAAATTTTTATTTAATTATTTAATTTTTTGGGATTTTTCACAAGTAAATTGTGGAATACAGCAATGCATCAATACAAAAAGACAAACAAAAGCGTCTCATGGTGACGGGTGTAAAGTTACATCTCTCAATCGCTTTTACGATTATAATCTGTAGAATTTATTTGTTTTCAGGGGAGAGCAAGTATCCTGTTTGCTTCTCTCTGCAGACGCCCATGTTGCAAAATATTAGCAGCATTCTTCTTTATTATTTAGCATATTTTAATACGTTTCATAATAAAATGCATTGTATATCACAAGGTGTTTGTTTTCATTTCTGAATCCTCTTTTTATAAGAAAATACAATATAACATAGGACTACTCACAATCGAAATCCCCAAAGTTTTCCTGTGGTTCTATAGTTTAACAATTTAAAGAGAAAAATTTAATTATTCAATCGTTCTTATTAATTAATAACATATATTTGTGAATGTAATAAGTTGTTAATTTCCTACAAAATATTTTAAATGTTTAATTTTTATTTACAATAAACTATGTATAAAATAAAATTATTAATATATTATACTTAATTTCGCTTTTCAAATTACTCCATCGTAGTGTTAATTATACTATTTTTTTTTTTAATTCATATAATTACGAAATAGATTATTCAACTTTTTCCTCTGGCATTTCAGCAATTAACGGAAAACCTGTACATCGATCGATATTAAAGTGACGATTAAAGTGACGTTGTTTCCTGTACGAGAAACTTCATTCATTAATATAAATATGTGACACATTGCCTAATAAAGTGGATTTAGTATAGTTGGTTAATAAGAAAAACCAATTACGTAGCCTGTATCAAATAAAAAGGACTGCTATTGGTTTGCCTGTCCAACTGTATTAAAGTCGCTATACTAGATACGATGTATTTAACTGCATTTGAAATTGCTAGTCATTGCAGAAAAATACGTCTGATTTGCAAATAAATATGTTATCAAGGCATTTTACGTGTAAAACTTTACAAAATTTTATTTAAATAGTTTTTAATTTAAAAAAAAATTAGTTTTCGATACTTTAAAATATTTTAATTGTCATTTAAACAATAAAAATACAACATGGAAACAGGAGAACGCGTTTAATGAACAAAATTGTGGTATAAAAATTATTTTAAATATTTATTTAAACTTAATTAATTAATCTTTTAAACTATTTAATTATTTTAAAAAAATGTTTCCTGTATTTAATCAATTAAATTTTATATACAGGTATACTGTAAATTAAATACAAAATTATTATTTGTAATCATTTTAATATAAAGAAAAATATAATAATTTTTAAATAAATAAATAAATATCTTATA